ACGTCAATGAAAAGAGTCAAGAGAGATCTGCTATTAATGCATAACTTCAGAGGACGGCGGAAGACCGGAAGGCCTGGTGGGAGCTGGTCCATGGGATCGTGAAGAGTCGGACCCAACTGTGCAACTGAACAATAACAAAACCATTCTTGAAGTGCAACCTTTACTGATTCCTATCTAGAATCACACTTACTCTTCACACAACACAAGATTCTACTCTTTTCCCCCCACTGTAACAGATTAGCACAGTTACCCTTCTTGAAAGACCCCTAAGGTTTCAGATCTATGAAATTCCTAATTATCAAACATCATCCTGCCAAGTTTCAAGCCCTGTAAAAGGATAAAACGGTGTCACATTTATTACTCCTTATTTATTTACATAACAGGCTATCTCACTGACATCCAAGACCTGGACACAAACTATCCACCACCATATTTTACATCACAGTTCATCTCCTATTACTCTATAACAATATCCTCTTCTCTCCTCTCCACAACAAGGAAGTTTCTCCACCAGCTGAAACACAATAATTCCTTCAAATACATCATCTCTGATTTTTCATGCAAAGTTCAGGTACATGGCTGCAGTGTTTACAGACTGCCGCTAAACTACACCATGTAAACTGCAGTGCACAAATGTGAACAAACATATAATAACCACCATGCAGCAGATATAAATTCCAGTGAACTGGCCACATTATTACATTGCAGCAAAACCAGAGAGGAGTCTTGTGGCATTTTAAAGGCTAACAGGTTTATTGGTATCACAATCAACATTTTGCCTTTCAGGCTCACTACTCAGAATACAGATATTATAGAAATTGTTTTTCTAAGCCAGACCTATAACACAACAAAAGCCCAGGGGTCAGACTAAGCCAGTATTAATAAAGTATGTGCTACATTACAGTGAGACCTAATCCAATGCAAGATAACAAAACCACTGGACATGGTATAATCGTAACAAAAAAAAAATTCAACATGATTAGTTAATTTGAAACTATGATCTTATTTTCAGAAAGATCATAATGAACTCTTCGGAGGACTTGGAAACAGAAAACAAAACTGACCAGAATAACTTCCCCTTTCTCATTTACGAGGCTAATGGGAGCCATCATTGCTTAGAAATAGGGATACAGAGTGAAGAGAGATCCCCAAGTGCCTGTAAACAGGAAGGGCCAGGTGTTAAGTGAGTTCCGCACAACAATGATCCTAGAACAAACGTTAGCCTTGTAGGATACTGTGAATGTCATCAGACTTATGGGAAAAAAATATGCAATTTCAAACACATCTATTTTTATCCTGTGTCTAGCACCGAGCCAGTCCAAATACAACAACAAAAAAGCCCTCTCCCATTAACAAAATAATGACAAAAGTCCTCATGTTTACCATATGATCACTGAGAAAGTACAATGATTCTTATTCAACATCTGAAGAGCTTAAGCATTTTAAAGAGACTCGAAGCACATCCAGCAATAGGAATGGAGAAAACAAACCCCCGATGTGGCTGGAGGTTCATGACTTTTACTAAGTTCACCCTAGGGCATGTGAATGACAAAACAAAGGCTTTATTAAAATATACTAGCAGTAAAGCCCGTTGTGAAAGCAATACAACGGGATCTAGAAAGAGGCTCTGGGGCAGTGCTCTGGCTTTGGGCAAACAGTGTCAATTTGCTGTGGTGACCTCAGCAGGGTATAATGACAGAGTCCACTGTTTTCTCCAGAGGAACTGATCTCTGCTACCTGAAGAGCAGTTGTAATTGTGAGTAATCTGTAGCCCTCACCTGGAGATTGGCAACAATTGTTACCCAGGACAAAATGGCTGGTTTGGAGGGTGGAGTCTATGGCATTCTACCTGTCTGAGGTCCCACCCCTCTGCAAACCCCACCCTCTCCAGGCTCCACCCCTCAAATCCCCAGGAATTTCTCAGCATGTAGTTGGCAACCCCATCTCCTTCCCAGCTAGCCACCAACCTACCATTATCTGCCCCTTTGACTTCAGCTGACTTCTGCCCTCCCTTCTGCAGAGCAGTTGTAATACTGAGTGCTCTCCAGCCCTCACCTGGAGATTGGCAACAATGGTTCCCTATGTGTGACTGACTGGTTTGGAGGGTGGAGTCTATGGCAGTGTACCTGTCTGAGGTCCCACCCCTCCTCAAACCTCACCCTCTTCAGGCTCCATCCCTCAAGTCTCCAGGAATTTCCCATCTGGAGTTGGCAACCCTATCAGGATTGGCCCCAATGTGTTTTCTCCCAAAGGCCAAAGTAGGTGACAGGACCAAGCTTAGTTGCCTACCAACAGGCACTGAGGGGAATGTAGGGTTGCCAGCTCTAAGGAGGGAAATACCTGGAGGTTTGGGGGGTGGATTCTGTAGAGGGCCGGGCGACGGAGGCATCGGCCTTCTGTCGCCCGCCTTGCCCCCCCAATCTCGGCCCGGGCACCCGCGGCTCCCACCAGCGGCCGCCCGACTCCAGACTCCCCCGCGGCCACTCCAGCCAGGCGACGGAGGCATCGGC